AGTGTAGCAGCTGGCTTATTCAAACAAGAAGATCAGCCCTCTTGACTTCTCTGGAACCTACTTCAAATACTTAGCTTCTCAGTTCAAAGAGTTTCTGCTGGCATGTGGTTCGTTTTCCTGACAGCATAATAAACTGCTCTCATGAATTCATGTTGAAGAAGGTTTCATTTTCAGGAATGCAGTGTCCTCTGCTGTGTGAAGGTTGGGGAGGGGGTCTGTTTACAGACTAAGAGTCACTGCACAACCAGCAGGTCCCGGGGCTGAATCAGGACCCTGGTATGAAGTGGTGGTGGGGAGGTACCTGTTTCCTTACCTTCTCTCTTTATATGCAAACACAGAGTTACAAGAATTATTTATTATAGAATTGCTTCAAGGCACAGAATTGCAATGTGGTAAGAGATGACTTTTCAAGTAATACTGTTATATCAAATTCATTCCATGTTGTTGCTGTTGCTAGGTGTCATACAATCGACTATGACTCATAACGACCCCATGACAACAGAGCTGAACCTTTTCCTACCTGTGCTTTCCTCACCCTCTCGGCCATGCTCAAGGTCACTGCTGCAATTACTGTGTCAATCCATCTCATTGAAGATCATCCCCTACTTTTCCCAGAATGATATTTTTCCCCCCAAGGACTGGCTCTTCCAGACAACTTTCCCAAAGTATGTCAGAGGACATTTTCCTGTCTTTACTTCCAAGGAACAGCCTAGTTGTATTTTGTCCTGACGGATTTATTAGGTTTTTTGTTTTGTTTTGTTTTGTTTTGTTTTTGGCAGGCAATATTCAATATTCCTCCCAACATCACAATTCAAAGGCACTGACTCTTTCTCAATCTCCCTTATTTATTGTCTAACTTTCTGATGCACATGCAGTAATTGAAATAGCATGGCTTAGGTCAGGTACACCTAAGTCTTCAAACTGACATCCTTGCTCTTAAGCTTTTAAAGAGGTCCTTGACAACAGATTTTCCCAAGGCAACATGTCTTGATTTCCTGACTGCTGCTACTCTGAGAGTTATTTGTGACTTCAAGTAAAGTTAAATCCTTGACAATGCCAACCTTTGTCCACCTATTACAATGCTCCCATCATTTGGTTTACTGCCTCTGAAAACACACTTGAGGGTCAGCTATGTGTCAGTTCCAACTTGATGGTATATAACAATAAAAACATCCTGTCCATGCTTCTTAATGTCCTCCATAACTTATTATGATCTGTTGTTGTTATGTGCCGTCGAGTCGCCTGTGACTCACGGCAACCCTACACCGTCAAATTCAATATGATTTTCAGATTTAATATGTATCTGAGAGCTGGATAATGACTAAAAATGGCTGAAAAAGAATTGATGCCTTTGAACTGTGGTGTTGGAAAAGAGCACTGGATATCTCATGGACTGCCAAAGGAGCAAACAGATACGTCTTGGCAAAGGTGCAGCCAGCGTGCTCCTGGGAGGCAAAGCTGGTGAAGCTTCATCTCACATATAATTTGAGCAGGTTGCTAGGAGAGCCTACTCCTTGGAAAAGGATATCATGCTTGGGAAGGTGGAGGGACAGTGAAGGCGAGAAGACCCTCAACCAGGACTGACATAGTGACTGCAGCCAGGGGCTTGAGGATGCTGGATAATGGAAGGATGGCAAGGGATTGGACCTTGTTCATATCTGGCATTCATAGTGTCACTATAAGTCATACTCGACTCGATGGCACTTAACACAGTCAGATGCCTTTGTATTGTCAATTCAGCACAAGTAAACATCTTTCTACTTCTCTCTACTCTCCAAAATCTATCTGACCTCAGCCTTCATCCATCATCCTATCCCTTGTTTCATGGCTTGAATTTCTGGCAGTCCCCTGTTGTTCCAGCTGCTTTTAAATAATCATCGGCAACATTTTACTTGCATGTGATATTACTGATTGTATTCAATAATCCTGTCACTTGACTGGACTACTTTCTTTGAGGAATGAGAACAACATGGGTCGGTTTCAGCTGGTTGGTCAGGGAGCTGTATTCCAAATTCCTTGAGGTAATCTAGTGAGCATGTCCAGGGCTGCATCTTTTTCCTGAAACACTCAACAGGTATTCTCTCAACGCCTTTAGTGCAGCTTGGACTTCTTCCTTCAGCACCACCGGATCTTGATCATATGCTACTTCCTGAAATGGTTCCATGTCAACCAATTATTTTTGGTAGTGTCACTGTGTATTCCTTCCATCTCCTTTTAAGCTCTTTGTTTGTTTTATATTTTCTTAAAATATGCCTTACGGAAGTTTAAAACAAATGGAAATTATTTCATAGGAAGGACAAACTTAAAAAAGGAAATGAACCTGTGTGATGGACGATGAGCCAGGTTGCTAACCACAAAGTCAGTGTTTCGAGTTCACTAGTTGCTCCCCAGAGACAGATATCGGAGTCTCCTCCCATAAAATGTTCAGTCCCAAAGAGATAAACCTGTAAGACTTGAACAATAACAATTCTCACTCCTGAAAACAAGCAACCAAAGAACAACAAAAGAGGTAAGTTCAGACGGTAGGAAGGGGCAGGACAAAGGCTCAAAGGAAAGAGAATTGCAGGGAAGCTGTGGACAGGTGCTGCTAGGGTGGTGATGATGCGATAAGCATCAGGAAGTAAAATGAAAAACAGCTGAATGAAAAACCAAGTTGTCCATCAAGTTGCGTTTATATCACAATCTTTCAAAACAAGGCAGAAGAGAAAGCCTAAGAACGTTGGAAACCCAATGGATGTTGATAAGAATGGAAATAAATAAAATTGCAGGTTTTGGTTGGTCTCAGCATCAAGAGATCTGACATTCCTTGCTGGTCTATAAAACTGGGAGTGTGGGAAGAAGTGGAAATGTGTCAACTGTGATTAACAATGTGAAACGTTTTCATCTCTTTTTCCCCCCAGTATTTTCTTCCAGACACTCAAATAAATCTCAAAATAATACCCAACTGGAGATGTAGGGATCGTCAGAGGCAGGAAACAGCCACGTCATCAGAGAAAGTTTTAAAATAACAATATAAAAATTCAAACCCCAAAGTTAATCACAAATCACTGGATTTCACGTTACAAAATGCCAGGGAAGGTGGACAGCAACAGTACAAGAATGTTTTCTCTTCCAGCGGAGAAAGAGCATCTTAGTTATTGTCTAGAAATATCTAAATGAAACACCCTTTTGCAGAATGTGTGGGATAACATGTATTACACATACCACACTTGAACTTTATAAAGTTAGAATTATTTAAAGCTCTATGGTGAATTAAGAGGTGAAAGTATAGAAAATATTTGGATTTTTCAAGATAAATTGAAAAGTTAAATCTAGAAGAAGGGTTTTCTGACTCTTGAGGGAAGCTGCTTTCCATTTGACTGTGTGTGTGTGTGTGTGTGTGTGTGTGTGTGTGTGTGGCGCACAGCACAGAGTTGATAGGAAAAGAAGAGAAGAAAGCACAGAGCTCGAGCAGTGCTGTGGTTAAAGCATTAAGCTGCTAACCAAAAGGTCAATGGTTCAAATCTACCAGCTACTCTGCAGGAGAAAGAGAAAGTAATCTGTTTCTTTAGAGGTTTACAGCCTTGGAAACATAACATCCTAGGAATCTCTCTCTAGCAACACTGAGTCAGAACAGATTCAATGGTGAGGGTTCACTGGTTTGGTGAGTATAATGGTCAACTGCTGATTGAAGTTAAAATTCTTATTCTCACAACTGTGAGCTCAGTTGCCCATTCTTCCATTCATTATTCATACAGTTAACCAGCACACATCTTATTAAACTATATCATATTCAGACTTGCAATGCAAGTAGACATAGCCTATCTATTATATTGTTACCTCAAAGGCAAAAAAACAACAACAAACCCCACACCTCAAACCAAACCAAACCAAAACAAAAACAACCACAAAAACAACCAGAAAGGGAAAATGTCTTTGACAAAGAAGACAGATAGGAACTCTCATACATTGTTAGTCGGATTGTAAAATAGTACACCCTCCCTGGAAGGCAGTTCAGCATTCCCTCAAAAAGTTGGACACAGAAATTCCATATGTTGCCAGCTACTTCACTAATAGGAATATATCCTAAAAAACTGTGGTACATTCGCACGATTGAATCCTACGCAGCACTCAGGAGCAACGATTGACAAAAATGACTACATAACTTGGGAGAGACTGGAGAGCATTATGCTGAATGAACTAACTCAGTCTTATATGGACAAATACTGCATAAGACAGTTATTGTAAAAATAGAAGGTAACTAGTAAAATGTGTATGGGGACCCAAGGGGTGAAGAGATGGGAGCAGAAGGGTGAGGATGGGAAGGGGTTAAATCAGGGTGTGGCACAATTTGGTGGGTGGAAGGGTAAAGGAAATGGGAAATATCTGACAGGTATCTGAAAAGACAGGTGGGCATGGTTCAATGGTAATTAATTTCATAAAACACAATTAATGAGAATGAGAGTATAAAACAGTGTGAATGAGGGATAGTGTGAACAGTGTATACGAACTCTGTATGCAAGCCAATACAAAAAAACACAAAGATGATAAATAGCAGGTATTTTTCCCTTCAAGCATTTTCTCTTCTCTCCCTCTCACTTGTCACAACTGAACAACACACTTATTCACACATATTTTTCCATCTGTCTCTCCCTTCAGACTGTGAGCCCCATGAAGACCGCAGTCATGCTCACGTTCTGGGGACTAGCAGAATCTATACCATGGTTGGAGCTATCCGCGGGAGTACAAATAACCCCGACACCCTGGCACACTGACAGGGAAGAGGGTCCTCAGAGATGACAGGGCCACACCAGCAGAGTGGACACTCTATGGCAGAAGGCTGGTGACAGGAGAGTACGTGTTGTCTGATGCCCTAGGTGAGAAGGAGTCAGTGTGTTAATGGCATCCACAGGAAAGAGCACTGAGGCCAACATCGCATCACTGTGGGCACAAGAAAGACGCAGTGACTTTACCTTCCCTGGACTGGCTCTTTCTGATGGGCTAGCTTTCCTTTGACTCACCTTTCATTCCTGGAGGACCTGGTGCCCCTGGATGTCCAATGTGGCCTCTTGACCCAGGGTCCCCTCTTTCTCCTGGATGTCCTCTCTGTCCAGGTGCCCCATGACCACCTGTGGATAACAGGGGTTCATTTCATGTGCTTGGATGATAGAAGTTACACTCACTGAAACAGCACATGTACCTAATGTAAGTGAGATGGTTTTATTATTTTTCCCTTCTAGATCTTTGTTGTTGTACATAGCAACAAAGATCTAGAGGGAAAACAACAACAACAACAGATCTTTAGCTCTGGAAAGAAAAAGACACTTTCTCTTAGGAGGAGAAAGCACAGTGCTCAGTGTCGGAAGTTGGCAATTATGATTGTAAACTTTCCCTTGGTTTTGCACAGACAGGAGGAGGATGCATGGGTATACAATGCCAGAGGTGATATTTGCATAACATCTAAAAGAGAAAAGAAAAATCAGCATGCACGTGGCTGGTGAATGGAAGGGAGCCAGAATACCAGGCACCGCGCGGACACTTGGCGAGGGTGTTCTTTGTTTACTTGTAGGGGAGTCCTAGTGAGATGAAACTAACGTCATTTTACATGTGACGAGAAGGTAAATTTAAATGGCCTGTCCAAAATCACAGGTTAAGAAAAGGCAGCAGAGATGAATCCAAGGGTGGGTGAGTGACAGTCAGCTCTTTCCAAAACACCAAGAGATGCGTGAGTACCCGGGCAGTTTCCAGAATCTCTAAATACCTGGACACCCTGGTGGTCCGAATGAGCCTGGCAGTCCCGGCCTTCCAGGTGGTCCATGGGGCCCTTGAACACCAGGCAAGCCCCGATCTCCAGGGACTCCAACGTGCCCTAAAGAAAGATGGACGAACATCTGAGTAGTTGCAGAGAGATCTTGGAGAAACAACAGAACAGTCAGCTTCAGTCTGCACTATTCTTTTTTTCTCTGATGTTTTATATTTACATTTTAATAGCATTAAGGCAAAAAGGGAAAGAAAATACCTTTGATCCTACCATTTTAACACACTTTTCCATACTTCCTAGTATCGTATCATATCGTACCGTACTGTATCAGTTGTAGCATCAAGTCAATTCTCAGACATCTTAAGCTCCATTTCTTAGACCAGTCCTGTCTTGATGACTAAATTGACAGTATTTCCGGTCTTGGGGTGCACCCAAGCTCATCACAGAAGCACGTTCCGTGTCACTACAGCAGAGAACCCCATGTGGACCAGTGGAGAACAGTGCACTACACAATCTAATGGTTTTGTTGTGATTTGAAAGAGTATTTACAAAGTGAGTTGATTTTTCCATTTAATTCTTTCCATGTTCTTTCTTTTCCATTTTCCATAGCTGTGATCTTTAGGAAGTAGACCTCGGTCTTCTGATCCACACGTACAGTCAACTCAACCTGATTCACTGCCATTGAGTTGGAACTGGCTCGCGGGGACCCCTCAGCGGGGTCTCAGAAGCTCTACATTGCATAACCCACATGTTCCCAAGTGTTCAAGTAATACTCACTGGTAGAGGCTGTTGTTGAAATTAACATTGTATTATAATAAATAATTTTATAAGTTTTCCTAATTATAATTTTTATAATGATTGGTTGATAGTTTGCTGAGTTAATCAAAATGAAAGAAATCTTCTCCTCTTGGAATTCTGGCAGCCCAGTGGGGAGAGAGTTGCACTCCGAACCCAAAGGCAGGTTTTTTAAATCCACCATTGGCTCCAAGGTGAAAAATGGGCCATCTCCTCCTATCGAATTTACAAACCTGCTGGAGGGTCAGGTAGGACTCGATTCTGACTTGGTGACAATTCAGGAGTGTTTGTGATTGGTAACTTATTTCTAACTCTTTGCTATGAGGCATAACCATCATTATACACCTTTAATCTTTTCTCCTATTTAAAATATGTTCTTAGGAAAATTTCTAGATAAAATAGTATATACTATTTTGGTTCTTCTTTTATAGATTTTAAAAAGTTGAAATAAATCACAGACATCATAGGATTATGTCCAGGAATATTTGAGGAGGTATGTCTAAAAAATGAGAATATTTTTCTACATTCCCAAAATAACATTGTCATAGCCAACATACGAATAACAGTCACTGTTTCTACCATCAGGTCCTCCTCTCTGGCTCGCTAATGTCGCTGCCTTTGGCCTGAACCACAGGACAATAATCCCCAGTCTGTCTTGAGTCAAGATCAACTCAACAGAAATTAACAACACATCCCAGTCACCTCTCAGGGCTTCCACGTTACCTCTGGTAGAGACAGACTGTTGTGTTGAATGACTTATATTGTTGGTGATGAAATTCTGTGTTTCTTTGCTTTTAAATAATTGTTGTTGTTGTTGGAATAATTAGAGAGCATTTAGTGAAAGCTCAACCTTCACTTCTCAAAAACAAAGCCAACCCTTGCCATTGAGTCCATTTAAACTCATAACCAGAGCAGGTCAGAGTAGAACAGACCCTGAGGGCTTCAAGGCTTTATACCTGATGAAACCGATGACTTCACTTTCTCCTCCTGAACAGACTGGTATACTCAAACCACTGATCTTTTGGGTACCAGGTGAATGCTTTACCACTGTGCCACCAGGGCTCCTGACAGCACTTCTCATTTGCACTCAGATGTGCTTTTCCAAGGAGGAAAAAAAAGGGCTGAAGTCACAACCTACAGCCGTTGTCAGGATATGTGGTTACTGCAAATACCCTGTGGGTTTTATTAGCATGGCGATGGCAAAACAATCTGAATTTTAAATGTCTGCAATATTATTTTTCAAATTTGTCAATTCTGGATATGCTCCGGGGAGAACACTGGTCAATATAATCTATTTTTTAGGTTGTGGTGGAAAACAGAAGCCCTGGGATAAATGACCAGAAGCGTGACCACAATGCTAATGTACAATCCTCCACTGTGTATTTAAAGAGCAAAGGGAGAAGGAAATTCTGATATAATCACTGCCAAATAGGTTCATCTATATTTTCCAAGCAACTTTGCTTTGTTCAGTGACAGAAACACACAGCAATACCTGGACATCCGAGGTCGCCTGGCTCACCCTTTGGACCTGGGAGACCAATCTGACTGGCAGGATCACCACGGATTCCTGGAAGTGACAAAACGCACAGCTCATACTTAAGAATATTTCATTTTGTTTTAAAAAGGTGCCTTAATAGGTGATATGACATTTTTCTTTGTAATATAGGTTCAAATATTCCAGAAGAGAATTTTGAAGATGCATTCCAAATAAGAATGAATGCAGAGAGATGAGAATCGTGATTCAAAGCCACATACATTTGCACACACAGTTTTCTAAGTTCCAACAGTCTACCTCGTTGGGCGTCTCCCTCGGTTTCTCTCATCTCTATGATTGTAGAGACACAGTGACTACCACCAGGGGCTTGAAGAGGACAGAGGTCATGAGGAAGATGCAGAAGAGGGCAAGGTTCAGATCTATTGTTCATGGGTCAGAGTCATAAAACACTTGACTGTATGCATCTAAATTCCAAAATCAATCTCCATAATAGTCTATGTGTTTCCTACTGCCAAAGGGGCCCTTTAGAGTAGTGAGAGAAGACCTTCACCCTGAAATCCACAGCGTCCCTTTTCAGCAGGAAGTAGCTAAGAGAATACGCCATCCCCTTTTCCTTATGAATCAGGGTGAAGTCTCTCTCAGGGAGGGGTGATAGGGAATGGCAAAGGACACACCGACAAAGGAGATTAATCAGAACTGGCTTTGACAAGCACTGTGGCAATTGGACAATTAAAACAGACATGGGGGAGGAAGAAGAATGAACTGGGGAGGAGGGTGGAGAAAACAGTGCAACAATGAATGAATGAAAACCCAAAATCTCTGTAAATGTTCATTAAAACTAATAAAATTTAATAATAATAATAATAAAAAGACTTGACTGTACTCGGCAACAGTAACATGGGCTTTAAGTTTGGATTTTTAAGTCTCTAAAGAAGTTTCAAATTAGATTTTCATTTAAGAACTTACTTAGTATTGAGAACGCATTCCCTTGTATTAAAATTTGGTCGCTATGAGTCGCAAATGACTCAATGGCACATAACAACAACAATGGGGATATTCAGTACTCTTCTCCAGCACCACATTTCAAAGGCATCAAATCTTCTCTCATTCATATTTATTGCCCAGATTTTGACAGCATAGTAAGTGAGTGAAAAGACTATGGCCTGATTCAGGTGCACCTTAGTCTTCAAACTAACATCATTTCCCCTCCATAATTTGGGGAGGTCCCTGACTGCTGACTTCCCCAGAGCAATGTGTCTCCTGATCTTCTGACGGCTGGTACCAAGTATACGGATTATAGATCCAAGTTAAATGATGTTGTCGACAGTTTGAATCTATCATGATGATGCATATTGGCCCAATGGTGAGAATTTTTGTTTTCTTGATGTTGAGATGCAATCCATAGTGAAGGCTGCAGTCTGATCTTTGGCAGCAAATGCTTCAAGTCCTAGATTTATTTTTATGTATGTATGTATGCATGCATTTATTCTACTACATAAGTATGTTCATTTGGAAGCAGGAATGTCATCCATTTCTTAAATTACATGCCTCCAGAACCCTATGAACTTTGAGAAAGGTTGATAGTTGCAGAGAGGCCTTTTGTTCATAGGGTCGCTATGAGTCATGCTCGACTCAAAGACAATCAACAATAACAAGAAGTATGTTCAGTTCATTTTTTAAATAGGGATTATCACGTTTTTATAGTGTTTCCCAAAGCAGAAAACATGTATCATTGATAGCAAGGAAAAGTATTGAATATGGTTCATTAACAAATATTTCCTATTTTAAAGTTCTTTATCAATGTTAAAGTGGAACTGTACACCCACCTTGTGAATCCAGACAGATATGAGAACGAGACTAAGATTTAAAAGATGGATCATATTAAAGTGGATTTAAAAAAAAACTATTAGCCCAATAATATATAAAGATTATAAACACATTAAAGGTTTGGTGCAAATATTGCAACTTCAGAAATCTTGTGGGTTTTCTTCTTCTTGTTAATTAATTTGGTTGGCTGTGAAAAGAAGTTAACTACTCTCCAGAGACATAGTTGCAGCCCATCTTGTAAAGAAAATTTTATTGGAACATATCCACATGTGTCTCTTTCCATACTGTCTCAGTGTTTTGTGTTACGACCGTAGTTTGAATAGTTCAGATTAAGACTGAAGCATTTGCTGATCTTTGATTTCTGGTAAAACAGATCTGATTGTACATGATGTCCGACCTGGGGATTCTTTAAGGGAGCAAGAGACAATGAAGAAGAAGCAGCAACAAGAGTGGGAAGTCATGGGCTTAGCCTTCTCTGGAATGACTTCTCTGTAGTGACTCTCGTGACTGGGCCTCTGAAAGCTCGATCTCTGGAGTTGCTAGAAGAGTTATTGGCACTTGAGGTGTATGGAGTTTCCAAGCCAACATGGGCATGTTCCATCCAGTGGCTCTCACCTCCTCACGCTTGATGGGCTGCAGTAACTATGTGGACTGCAGAAAAGCCTCCCACTAATGAACCAGGCAAACTGCTGGGCCTCGATGGCACTTTTTCCCTAGCTGGGACCCTTCATTCTGAAGACAAGTGTAGATCACTGAATATCTGACCATCAAGTAAACTTCAAGAGAAACCAGCTGAACACTGACATTTGTTTTATGTACTTTCTAAAATTCGTTCTCATGCAATAATTCATTCACATTGTGCTTTATTCATATACATTGTATTCCATACAATCCCTCATTTACATTGTGCTTCCTACAATCATTTCTATACATGGAGCCTCACATAATTACCACGGATCTATGCTATTACACCAGCTTTTCAAGTCCCCGCTCAATCTTTCCCATTCCCTCAGCTTTTCTCCAATCAGCCCCCTAAACTCCATTATCCTTTGATTTCCACACTTCCACCTTTTCTGCCCCTTTCTCCTTTTGGATATTTATAAACATCTTATTAGTGGTTATCCTTCTATTTTTGCTATAATGGTCCTTAGGAGACTTAGTTCACTCAGCAGAATGTCCTCTAGACTCTCCCATGTTATGTAGTATTTTATGAAACTGTTACTCCTTTGTGCTGCTGCATCGTATTCCACCATGAGAATGTACCGCAAATTCTCAATCCATTCATTTGTTGATAGCATTTGGGCTGTTCCCATATTCTGGTTATTGTGAATAATGCTGCTATGAACATCAATGTACATAACTACGTGTACATATACTATTCTGGTCTCAATTCTATTTTCTTTGGGGTATATTCCTAGCAGTGCAATACCTGTGTAATCTGTGTTATATGGATTTTCTCCATTCAGCTTTTGGAGGAAATGCCAAACTGCCTTCCCGAGTGGTTGTACCATCTCACAGTCCCACCAGCAGTACATGAGAGTTCCAATCTCCCCATATCTTCCTCTCCAACACTTACTGCTAGCTGTTCTGTTAAACTTTGCCACTGCTACTAGGTGAGATGGTATCTCATTGTGGTTTGGATTTGCATCTGCCTGATTGCCAGTGATTTGGAGCATTTCTTCATGTGTCTGTGCTCTGCTCTTTCACACTGACACAAACTTAGAGGACTATGCTCTCAACAGATGGCTGCTGTGTCCCCATCATACCTTTAGGTCCTTTTGCTCCATCCAGTCCTGAAGGTCCAGGGAGGCCTGGCGAACCCGGATCACCCTGATATTCAATGAAACAGAAGTGAGACTACTGGTGGCACATATCACTGTCACATGCATTCCGAGTTCTAGGAATAATTCTCTGTAAACAATGTTATTTTCATCATTTTCAGTGGTAAAGAAAATTGAAAACGCATTGGGACCACACTCCCATACATGTGTGTAGTTTGTTATTTTTATTTTATTTCATTATTTTTTGTGCATACAGTTAAATCAGATCTGACGGATACAGGAGGAGATTGTTCCTCCTTCTCCCGCAGAGCATCTGGTGGATTCGAACTGTGTACCTCCAAGATTGCAGTGCAACATGTGTGTAGTTTTCAGAAACAGTTTAATTCCTCATCCCTCTAGGAAGAGATGTACTTAATAAATAGTCTCTGCACTGATTATAAAACAATAGCTTCATTACAGAGCTTGAATTTTAAGTTTTAAATTGATAAATTGATCCTCGAGAAAATCTTATTGGAAGTCATATATATTACTAAAATGTTTAAAGTCCTTTTTTTTATTCCGAAAGATGAGACATAAGTGATAGGACTCATTTTCCAGAAGTGTAACTGAGGGCACTTTGTTTACTGTAACCTCTGACTCCTCAAGGGATTTTATATGCATATAAAGATCCGTGATATTGACAACAAAATCTGTGATACCTGCCATCAGAAGGGACAGCTCAGAAACCAGAACTCAGGAAGGATGTGGGTCATTTCCCAAAATAGCTTTCCATTCTGGTGACCAACCACCAGAAAGCAAGGCTCTCTTAATTTGCTTAATCTCATAACAGGTTAAAAACTTGATCATCTGGGAGCTCTGGTGGCCTACTAGCAAGAAGCTGCTCTGCAATCCCTGAGGTACACGGTTCGAATCCACCAGATGGTCTGCTGGAGAAGGAGGGTCAATCTCCTCCTGTACCAGTCAGATCCGATTTGATGGTACATGCACAAAAAAGAATAATACAAAAAAAAATTTAAAAAAAGACTTGATCATCTATATCAGAGAACCAGGCATGAGCACTGGTCAGAGATTTCAATTATACCATGGCTTTCTAGAAGGTTCCATGTTCCCTTTGTCCTACCGCTTATATTCTAAACATCAGTGGAAGTGTCATGATGGACATGGTCCACTACTGCTTGTTGTAAGATTCTAAGGGATGTTGCTATGGCTAGGTACCTCCAAGTTGTAACCAAGTCACAGCAAGCTTAAGTCCAAGACAATGAGACCCTGCCAGATGCTGAACCATCCTCCACTCTCTGCAGGGACTGAGCACGCTAATCCCCCTCTCTCCGCTGACCCAAGCATAGTCGTCTCAATCACTTGCTATGCATCTGAGAGCTAGACAATGGATGAAAGCAAAAGAATCAGTGCCTTTGAGTTGTGATGCTGGAGAAGAGTACTGAATATCCCATGGACTATAAAAGATATGTCTTGGAGAATGTGTAGTTGGAGTGGATGGTGTGATTTCATCTCACATACTTTAGGCACGTTGTTGTTGTTGTTGTTGTTATGCACTGTCAAGTTGGAACTGGCCCATAGCTGAACCATCAGAGGGTTTTTTAGAGGCCGTAAACTTGCACAGAAGTTAACTGCTCATCTTACTATCATGGAGCAGCTGGTGGATTTGAACCTGTGCCTTCAGGATGGCAGCACAGCTACTTACCACCAGGCCATCAGAGCTCTCTTGGGCATGTTTTTATGAGGGGCCATTCCTTGGAAAGATGGAGGGTCAGTGAGAAAAAGGAAGACCACCAATGAGACAGATTGACACAGTGACTGCAGCAATGGGTACAAGTGTGTCCAAAAGGATGAGATGGCACAAGATAGGACAGGGTTCAGATCTGTTGCACATGAGGTCACTATGAGTCAAACTCAACTTGACGATACCTAACAATAGCAGCAACAATTTTACCCAGCACAGTTTCTTTCGCCAGGGACTGGCCCACGCTGAGAACATGCCCAAAACATTTGAGATGACCTCACCATCCTTGCTTCTAACGAGCAAACTGGCTACACTTCTTCCTAAGCAGATTAACTTGTTTTTTCCTAAGAGCAGAGAAGTTTTGTTATTGCCCTCCCGCCAGTCCCTCCTCCTTCCAAAGCAAAAGTCACCCACCTGATCACCTGGAAATCCAGGGAAGCCAAGGATCCCAGGCAGGCCAGGATGGCCAGGTGGGCCTGGGAGGCCAGCAAGCCCTGGCTGTCCGTCTCTCCCAGGCTCCCCTCTGTGTACTCCGGGAGGCCCGGGTCTTCCTGGATCTCCTCTTCCTCCTTGCATCCCTGGACTTCCCTTATCACCTGTTGAGGTTAAAAGTGAGATGCATCTCCCGCCTAAAATCCTGAGCCACCCTTACACACAGAGACCTGGTCTTAATTTTAGAAGGGGAAACTAAAGGCATGAGAAGTCCTGACTCCTGCCCGAAGTGGCAGTACCCACAAACCAACTTAGGGTAATGAAATGATGTCCAAGATCATTTGACACAACACACAGCCACTTCACAGAGAAGGAAGGATGTTCTGAGAAAAGTGAAGCTTGTGTCTCTTATCAACCAGCGAAGGACAGAGATGAGACAAGAAGCCAAATCTTATGCTTATTAAGTAAATCTGACTATCAAGATAATAAAAACAAAACATTAAAAAGGTCCCTTACAATGACATGTCAGATAAGGGACTTACATCTAGAATATATAAAATATTTGAGCACCAAAACAAGATAAAGGTAAACAATCCAATTGAAAAATGGGCACAGGATATGAACAGACACTTCACCAAAGAAGACATTCATATGGCCAACAAATACATGAAGAAATGTTCAAAATCCCTAGCTCTAAGAGAGATGTAGATCAAAACAACTATGAGATA